GTTCACTGACTAATTGTGCACCTTCTTGACCCACAAGTCGTGTTGAGATCTCAACAATTTAGGAAGTATAAATTCTCAAATTAAGAAACCATAAAGTATATTTTCTCAAGGAAAACAGTTTAAGGGTTTGAATAATTAGAAACTCAACTAATCATCACTTGATTCACGACAGGCATTTAGACGCATAGATTAGTTTTCTTTGGCTTGGAATTGAAGGGATACGAATAGGTATGGAACGTTAGAACCACTCTCTCCTTTCCTCTCTTTCACTCCCTCACACACACACACACACACACACACACACACACTCTCTCTCTCTCTCTCTCTCTCTCTAAGTCTCTCACAAACACACACACTCTCACACACAAACAAACACTCACACAAACAGAACTAAAACCGTACTCTTGATGTACGGACGTTCATCCCTTGGTTGTGCCTTTGACTCGGCGGCGCCACTGCCACAGAAAAAAGTCTCTACCCATCTAACCCTCCGTCCACTTGTCACAATTTCATCACATCCAAAGCTCATCAAGATCTCTCACACCCCCCCCCCCCCCCCCCCCCCCCTTCTCTCTCTCTCTCGCTCTCTCTCTCTCTCCACAATTTCAATCCAAACCAACACTTTCAACTAAAAACTCTTAATTAACACCATACAACCCCAAGATTCCGTACACTACAAGAACAAACACCTACCCTTTCTCTTCCATTCTTGACCCACTTCCATCATCACCCCTTTTCTCTAGCATTTGCTTTTGTTTTGTTTTTAATTTACTTTCCCTTGTTTTTGGGTTTTTTTTTTTTTTTTTTTGTTGTTTTTTAAATTTAATGGCTCTGATTGTGGACCAGCAATCAAGCTTCAAACACTTTTGTAAGATTTGCAAGAAAGGATTTGGGTGTGGTAGAGCGCTAGGAGGGCACATGGAATAGGTGATGAAGGTATGTGACCTATTAATTGGTTTCTGACAGGTTTAAAGGAATCAAGTCAACAAGATAATTGATTTCATCAGAAATCTCTCCAATCAACTTATTGCTTGAGAGATCAATACTCTTTAGAAGTCCAAGTGTACTTTTGTATTTAGACCTTACTCCTTTCCATGTTAAAGATGCTTCATCATCATAAGGCAAATCATATAAAGATTTTCGGAACTGAATTCTATAGGATTGCTGGATAGTTTGGCTTGAACTTCCTTTTAGCAAAATTGTTGAGACATTTGGGTATTGTTCCAGAAATGTTGTTTATCGACAAATCCGAAATTTGAAGGCATGTAAGATAGCATAACTGTGGCGGGATGCTTCTATAAAATTGATTAGATTGTTTCTGTGTTTTTAATTATTTTTGTTGTGATGTTGAAGTTTAATAAATTGTTTTTGTGTTTTTAATTATTTCATTATGAATATTACCATAATATTTTTCGGCAAAACAAGGAGATAACTCGGCACAAATAAAGAGAATCATGAAAAAAAAAGGGAGATAAAACACAGTTACACAGCAAAATGTAGAAGATAAAAAAACAAAGCAGGCCCATTTAATACGTGACAGAGGATGAAGTGTGAACCAAATCAAGCTACAAAATCACCGGCCCCGATGGATAAACTTGCAGTTTTTTTTCAAAATTTTTGGGAGGTGGTTCAAATGGATGTCATCGGTCTGGTACGTAGTTTTTTCTATTCTGGCCGCATGTTCCGAAAGTTTAATCATACTCATATTGTGCTTATCCCGACAACGAATAGTCCACGGAAGATGTCTCAGTGGCGCCCTATCTCCCTTTGTAATGTGGTGAGTTTAAACCAATCGGCATTCGTGGCAGAAAGGCAAATTACGTACAATAATTTAGTGGTTACATTCCCTCGAGTCGGCGAGGGGTGTTGGCGACCATAATATGGCCATTAAGATAGACACGGCAAAGGCGTATGATCGTGCTTTAAGATAGACATGGCCAAGCGTGGTCAGCGAAGACATTGCGTGGTGGGTCTGTAGAGGTGATCTTGGCTGCTTCCTGGAGGCGGGGGGGGAGGAGGGGTTGGTTTGTCAATCTACTCTCATGGCAGAAGCCTTGGCCTGGTGAAGATGGGTTGGTTTGTCAATCTACTCTCATGGCAGAAGCCTTGGCCATTCGGGAGGCAATAAACGCCAGCTGGACAGTAGGTTTTAAGGAAATAGTAATTGAGTCAGACTCAAAGGAGATCATTACTATGTTAGGAAGGAGAAGGTAGTGACTGACTGTGGAGGTGGAAAGCATTGTGTTCGACATCTAGACGATAGCGGATCGGCTGGATCGAGTCATCTATATGCACACTAGTCGCTCTTGTAATCGAGCTGCCCATTTGGTAGCATTGTTTGCGTCTAAGCAGCGAGGAGCTCATTCATGGGTGTTGGTTTGCCCAGATTGGCTGTTTAATTGTCTTGCAGAGGATGTTAATGTTTATGTTCGTCTTTAATAAAATTCACTTTCGTTGGCCAAAAAAAAAAGGGAATGGATCTTGCGGTATCAAGTTGGGTAACTTTTCATAAATATTCCCTTCCCATTTGGAAGAGGATCCTTCCCATTATAAGAGCGCCGGCACACTATTATGGCCACCACATATGCTAATCTATCTTTTCTTGGTAAATAGTAATGGTTAATTAGAAATTGAACTTTCCTATATATATTTCAAAATTTTCTAAACATTATTATCTCATTCATAATACATCACCATTTGACCTTAAGTCCATGGGCTGAAGTGGGTAGATCGAGGCCCAATGGGCCAATGCCCGGCCCAACTCGTTCTTTAATTAGGCTCGTTTGGCCTGATCCTGCTCTTGAATTGGGTAGGGTTGGGGTTTAGGATTTGAAACCCTAGGTCTGACCCGTTTAGGCCCTTCTTTTTTTAGACTTAATTGATGTACTTATTAACCTCATTTTAAACTTAATCAAAATAATATAATATGTAAGATAACTTAATAAACTTCGTATTTTATTTACACATGTTATGAATTAAGTTAATTTTTTCAATATTATTTAAAAATTTGTAACAAAAATTTATAAAAGACATTAAACTTCAACCCACATCCAACTGCATGCCATACATGTCGAGTTTAATAATGGACCATCCAACTTTTTCTTAGTGCTTTAATTTGTAGGTAAGGTGCAGTCAAGTTACTTAAGTATATAAGGGAGCTTCACCAAGGCTGAACTAAGCGTGTACTCGTTTGCTTAATCACTCTCACTACTTCAGCTACTAGTTGTTTCTGTGAATGCTTTGAATCAAAGCAAAAGCAATGCCTGAATGAGAAATGATTGATTAGTGACTAATCCCACTTCACTTGTGAAAAGTAATGTCTTTGCTTAACCAAGAGTTCACTGACGAATTGAAATAGTAATAGTGCACCTTCTTGACCCAGAAGCTGTGTTGCGTTGAGATCTCAACTATTTAGGAAGTACAAACTCTAACTAATAATGCCTTAATTACAAAATTCAACGAATTATTCTGGTCCTAGTTATATCAAAAATTTTACTTAATACAAATATTCATAAAATTTTGACATTAGGGAAAGTTGACCTGATTATATTGGACACTCTAACATGATGGAAATATTATGACGACCTACTTATGCTTTTTCATTTTTTTCATTGTTATTTTTGAAACAATAATGCTATTTGTACCACATTTACTGACCACATTATACTGACCTCAATAATGCTATTTGTACTATATTTACTGATTACATTATGCTAAGCACCAACTATCTTCCGAATTCGAATCGTTTCATTAATTCTTGTCAATAAAAATACATTTGATTCATATACTGATTTTTGCACGAAAGACATGATGATGCTAAAGTATATTTTCTCAAGGAAAACAGTTTAAGGGATTGAATCATTAGGAACTCAACTAAGCTCATTATACCCATTTGAGATCCCAACACTCCGGTGGAGACATTACATGAAGAAACATCCATTGGCTCTACGACCCTGAACCTGTTTAAAAATAGGAAAAATAGTAAACTAAAATGTTACACAATAAATAAATAAAACATGCATGGGGTTCGAGTATAATTTTGTGTAACTAATAATCTCAAATAATGCCCTAAGAAATGAGTAGTTTGGATTACGGGATGATTGTGGAATAAGCTCAAACGAGTGATTAGTTGGGGTTGAATAATTAAGTTAATAGGCAATCCGATCAACTGAACTAATTTTATGACTTGATTGATGACAAGCTAGCTTAATATACGTAGTTTGAGATCCTAACACTCCGCCCTAGTACTAGCTGTTAGAAAATTGGAAAAATACAATGTAATAAAATAGTAAATAACATGTACAAAAGTCATTGAAAAAAATTAGTGTCACTTCAAATAGCTGATTTAGTCATTTGACATCTAAGTTTAGGAGCAAATGCCTAATTATCGTTAGCATTCTTCTGAAGTTAAAGGGAATATTCTGTATTTGGGCAACTCAGAAAATAGAAAAAAGAAACAAACAAACATTAATTAAAAAGATTAGTTATCTACAATAGAAATAATTAATTTAATGTATGGAAAAGCAGCTTGAACCAACCGACAAAGAAGGAGGAGCATAGATTAGTTTTCTTGGCTTGGAATTGAAGGGATATGAATAGGTATGGCAGTTAGAACCACTCTCTCCTTTCCTCTCTTTCACTCCCACACACACACACACACACACACACACACACACACACACACACACATATATAGGATGAGGTGCTATAACAAACACTCACACAAACACAACTCAAAAACGTGCTCTTGATGTACGGACGTCCATCCCTTGGTTGTGGCTTTGACTCGGCGGCGCCACCTCCACAGAAAAAGTCTCTACCCATCTAACCGTCCGTCCACTTGTCACAATGTCATCACATCCAAAGCTCATCAAGAACTCTCACACCCCCCCTCCCCTTTCTCTCTCTCTCTCTGTCTCTCTCTCTCTCTGTCTCTCTGTATCTCTGTCTCTCTCTCTCCCATATCCACAAATTCAATCCAAACCAACACTTTCAACTAAAAACTAGGACTAGAAACTCCTAATTATCACCATACAACCCCACGATTCCGTACACTACAAGAACAAACACCTTCCTTTTCTCTTCCATTCTTGACCCACTTCCATCATCACCCCTTTTCTCTAGCTTTTTTTTTTTGTTTTAAATTTGCTTTCCCTTGTTTTTGGGGGTTTTTTTGTTGTTGTCTTTTTAATTTAATGGCTTTGATTGTGGACCAGCAATCAAGCTTCAAACACTTTTGTAAAATTTGCAAGAAAGGATTTGGGTGTGGTAGAGCGCTAGGAGGGCACATGAGGGCACATGGAATAGGGGATGAAGGTCACATCGACGACGACGATCCTCCGAGTGATTGGGAGGACAAACTCGGCGGCAATGTTCCATCAACCAACAAGTGCATGTATGCCCTAAGAACAAACCCTAATCGCCTAAAGAGCTGCCGGGTTTGTGAGAATTGCGGCAAAGAGTTCTTGTCTTGGAAATCTTTCCTTGAACATGGAAAATGTAATAGCTCCATAGATGCCGAACCCCTCATGTCCTCCCCGGGCTCCGATGGGGAGGAGGGGGCCAGCGGTCGGAGAGGATGTGGGTGGTCGAAAAGGAAGAGATCGATGAGAGCCAAAGTGGGCAATTTCAATTCACACTGCCCATCAAATGAGGAAGAAGACCTTGCGAATTGCTTAATGATGTTGTCCAATGCCACGGTTGATCCTATGGAGGCTGAGCCGGAGGAGTCTTGTGCTTCAGCTAGCAAAGAAGAGGAAAGAAGAGACCCTATGAACATCATGGCTCCTATGTCACGTGGGGTGGCCATAGACAACACTAAGGCCAAAGGGGTCGCCAACAAAGGCTTGTTTGAGTGCAAAGCATGCAAGAAAGTGTTCAATTCCCACCAAGCCTTGGGAGGTCATAGGGCTAGCCACAAGAAGGTTAAAGGGTGCTTTGCCGCCCGGCTCGATCACCTCGAAGATAGTATGGCCGACGATGATGTCATCACACATGAAGAATTCTTCCCCAATAAACCTAATTCAACCCTACAATTCGACCACGGCTCTAACACCCCGTCAGCCTATACCTCGAAGAGAAAAGCGAAGGTGCACGAATGTTCGATATGCCACCGGGTTTTCTCTTCCGGGCAGGCATTGGGCGGACACAAGAGGTGCCATTGGATCACGTCCAACGCAGCGACAGACACGTCTACATTAGCCAAGTTCCATGAGTTTCAAGAAAGTTTGGAGCAGCAAATGATGAACCAAAGGCCTAAGTTTGATGGTTCTTCGGATCCACTTGATCTGAAGCTTGATCTTAACCTACCAGCTCCGGCAGATGAGAATGGTGGAGGAAGTAGAGAACGTCCCAATCAATCAAGCTTGGAAGTCTCGACAGATTTCTTTTTACTACCATGGATTGGGACAAAAGAGGAGGACAATCCCCCTCTTCACTCCTCCCACCAAAACGACAATGACAACATTAACAACGACGACAACAATAACAACAACAACAATACAAATAATAATAACACTAGTAATGATTTTTCAATGCAGAATGTGGTTGATGAAGCAGACAGTAAGGTGAAGTTAGCAAAGCTAAGTGAACTAAAGGATATCAATACCAGTGGGGGCTCCTCACCATGGTTGCAGGTGGGGCTTGGTTCAACAACTGATGTTGGAGCTGAACCATAATTTCATCTCAAGGAAAGTGAGATTTTCTCAGCTCTATCTCTCTCTCTTCTTTTTTTTCTCCTCAAAGATTTTTTGTACGTATCAAGAAAAACTGTAATTATATAACAAAACAAGCTCATAGTTCAAGATTCTTTTTAAAATTTAAATTTTCCTTTTGAATTGTTAAATGTACATTATAGTGGGTCAATTTAATTAAGCCCCAATCTCATTTCATGCATATGCATGGCATTTATACTTCTAATAAAACATTGTAATTTT